GTTCCCTCTGTCCTGGGGGGAGGCTTCTGAGGAGGGAGGGCCTACCTTGGAGCAAAAGCAAAGCGGTCAGGTCACCGTCACCGTCACCTTCACAAGGAAAATGAAAAGCAGGTTCTTAGCAGGGAGTCTGGGTCGTGATTCTAGTCATCTGTTAAGACTTTGGAGATTTAATTGCTTCCTATTTTAGTTCGGACGTGTTGTCGTTTTTTATTATTGTTGTTGATCTTCTGGTTGTCTTGTTTGCTCATCTTTGGTAATAAACTCTGTGAAATCAAGAGAGTTCGAGAGCATCAAAGAAAGAAGGAGCCGCTCTTCCACAGCGGCAGGGAGGGAGGACAGACCCAGTGCGGAGAGGGTGGTGGCTGCCCTGGAGAGTGGGCAGCAGTGTGAGCCCCTGAGCCTCTGCAGAGGAAGCCAGTGGCTCAGAGCACAGGACAGTGGCTCTGAGGAGAGGACGGGGCAGGTCCCGTTGGGGACACCCATGTGGGCCCGTGGCATGGTGCTGAGGTTGTGACTCTTCTCTTATGGCTGTCCCTGCATTTCCTAATGCTCCTCATGTGCCCCCTCCCCACCCTCTTTCCCTCACCCTCCCCCTTCCTCCCCCCCCCCACCCCGGCCCATAACGATATGGTTTCTACCCTCACCTTTAATTCCAGCACTGCCCAAGATCAAACGGCTCAACATCTCACCACCACGTCCAGACCTTCCCCCCTTTATTCTCATCTCATTTCTCACTTCCTGATAAGTAACCTCTTCTGGCTTTCTTGTTAATTAAAAAAAACCCCTTTTTTTTTTTTAATTGATTTCAGAGAGAGGGAGAGGGAGAGATAGAAACAGCAATGATGAGAGAGAATCATTGATCAGCTGCTTCCTGCATGCCTTCTGCTGGGGATGGAACCCACACTTGAGCATGTGTTCTGACAAGAAATTGGACCATGACCTCCTGGTTCATAAATCGATGCTCAACACTGAGCCACAATGGCCAGGCTAACCTCTCCAGGATTTGACACAGCTCTTAATAGGAGATGCTAACCTCTCACCTCTCCAAGGCAGCCTTTGTGCCTCCTCTCCTTTCTTCTCTCTCCTCTTTTTTCCCTCCTCCTTCTCCTTCCCTTTTCTTCCACCTTCTTCCCTCTCTCCCACATTCTCCCCTTTCCCTGCTGCTTGCTGCCCACCCATTTGTGGGGATGCACACACATCATGTTGTCTCTCATTTCATATCTTTTCACATGTTTCCTCTGCTCAGATCCTATATTGTCTTCCCTTTTAGCATGCTCTACACTGTGTCACCTGTTCCGTGTCTGTCGGCTGGACTCTGAGCTCCTCAGGGGGCAGGGATTGCTCTGTTTTTCATATTTCTCCAATGCCTTGCTCAATTCCTGGCACAGAACCAACCCTTGGGAAATATTTTGTGTGAATGAATGAGCATAGCTGAGCCTAGGTACCTGGGATCCTTTTGTTGTGAAGACTGGAGAAAACGAACATGAAAGGCCGGGCAGGGAACATGGGATATGGCATCCAGTGAATTGTCACGGCTGTGCTTGTTGTCATTGTCCTGAGCCGGGGCCACGCCTTGCTTGTGGGGTCCCCTCTTCAGCGTTTAATAATGCCTTGCGCAAAACAGACACTTCACAGCTATGATTGAGCTGAATATATAGTCCATAAGCTGGATGCATGATTAGTTGTTCTTCTGTGTTCATGTTTAGAATAAAAGTAATGGCTATCTTGAGGACATGTTTATTTTCCACGGAAATTATAAACTCCATGGAGCATAGGAATTATTTTTTAAGGCAGAAATGGACTTTATAACGGTCAAAATTTTAAATTTTTAAATTTTATTGTGGTAACACAACATGAGATTTTTAAGTGTGCAATTCAGTATTGTTCTCTGTAGGCCCAATGTCGCAGGACAGATCTCTAGAACTTACTCATCTGGCAGCACTGAAACTTCATACCCACCAATTAGCACCTCCCCACCCCGAACCCACCCCCTGCCCAGCCTCTGGCAGCCCTCAACCCATGCTTTTGTAAGTCTGACTATTTTAGGTACCTCATGTAAGAGGAATCGGGCAGTATTTGTCCTTCCATGACCATCTTATTTCACTTAGCATGATATCCCTAAGGTCCGTCTGTATTGTGTATTTCAGGATTGCCTTCTTTTTTATGGCTGAATAATAGTCCATATTGATCTCTACCTCTTTTTTTTTTTTAATCCCTTCATCTGTTTTTCAAAAAAAAATTTTTTTTTTATTTCAGAGAGAGGCAGGGAGAGGGAGAGAGAGGTTTTCTCCACATGTTGGCTGTTGTGAACAGTGCTGCAGTGAACATGGAAATACTAACACCACTTAGAGATACTTTGATTTCAATTCTTCAGGCTAGGTCCCCAGCGGTAGGATTGCTGGACCCTATGGCAGTTCCATTTTTAATTTTTTAAAATATATTTTATTGATTTTTCACAGAGAGGAAGAGAGAGGGATAGAGAGCTAGAAACATCGATGAGAGAGAAACATCGACCAGCTGCCTCCTGCACACCCCCTATCAGGGATGTGCCTGAAACCAATGTACATGCCCTTGACCGAACCTGGGACCTTCCAGTCCGAAGACCGATGTTCTATCCACTGAGCTAAACTGGTTTCGGCTCCATTTTTAATTTTTTGAGGAACCGCCATACTGTTTTCCATTTTGTATTTCCACCAGTAATGCCAGGGTTCCAATTTTTCTACATCCTCACCAGGGCTGTTATCTTAAAAAAAAAAAAAAAAAAAAAAAAAAATTTCTGTAGTAGCCATTTTAATAGATGTGAGGTGATATCACACTGTGGTTTTTATTTGCATTTCCCTGGTTGTTAGTGATGCTGAGTGTCTTTTCATATGCTCATTGGCCATTTTATATATTCTTTGGAGAAATGTCTATTCAAGTCTTTAACCCATTTTTAAAATTGGTTATTAGTTTGTTTTGTTTACCAGGGAGTGGTAGGAGTTCCTGACATATTTCTGTCATTAACCCCTTATCCGATATATGATTCGCAAATATTTCCTCCCATTCTGTAGGCTGCCTTTTCGCTCTCTGTTTCCTTTGCTGTACAGAAGCCTTTAGCTTGATGTAGTCCCACTTGTCTGTTTTTGCTTTTGTTTCCTGTGCTTTCTGGTGTCATAATCATAAAATCATTGCCAAAACCAATGTCCTGAAGCTTTTCCCCTATGTTTACTTCTGGGAGTTTTATAGTTTCAGGTTTCAGGCTTACGTCTTTAATCCACTCTGAGTTTATTTTTGTCTATGGTGTAAGAAAGAGGCTCGATTTCATTATTTTGCATGTGGATATCCAGTTTTCTCAACACAATTTGTTGAAGAGACCATCCTCTCTCTATTGTGTATTCTTGGCACCCTTGTCAAAGATGAGTTGATTACATATGTGTAGATTTGTTTCGGGCCTGTGTGCTGTATCGCCTCCAGCTTTGATCTTCTTTCTCGAGATTCTTTTGGCTATCTGGGATCCTTTGTGGTTCCATATGGAATTTTAAATTGTTTTTACTATTTTTTAAAAAAAAGTGCCACAGGGATTTTGGTAAAGATTGCAGTGAATGTGTAGATCATTTGGGTAGTATGGATATTTTGACAACATTAAGTTTTTCAGTCTATGAGCATGGAATATCTTTCCATTTGTTTTGTTCTTTAATTTCTTTCATCAGTGTTTTATAGTTTTTAAGCGTATAAGTCTTTCTAATTAATCTTTCTAGTTACTTCCTTAGTTAGGCTTATTCCTAAGTATTTTATTAAAATGATGCTATTGGCCTTAGCTGGTTTGGCTCTGTGGATAGAGCATCGGCTTGCAGATGGATCCTGAGTTCAATTCCTGTCAAGGGCACATGTCCAGGTTGTGGCTTGATCCCCAGAAGGGGGCATACAGGAGTAGCATGCAGGAGAAAATCAATGATTTTCTCTCATCATTGATATTTCTATCGCTCCCTTTCCCTTTCTCTCAGAAATCAAAAAATATATATATTTTTTTAAATGATGCTATTGTTTTCCTAATTTTCTTTTTAGATAGCTGTTAATGTATAGAAATACAAGTGATTTTTGTTTGTTGATTTTGTATCCTGCAACTTTACTGAATTCCTTTATTCTAACTTTTTTGTTTTGGTGGAATCTTAGGACATTCTTGCACATAAAATTGTTTCCTCTATAAACAGGAACAATTTTGCTTCTTCCTATCCAATCTGGATGCCTGTTATTCCTTTTTTTTGTAATTCCTCTATCTAGGACTTGCAGTACTACATTGCATAGAAGCGGCTAGAGTGGGCATCATTGCCTTATTTCTGATTTTAGAGGAGGAACTTTTAATTTTTTATCATTGAGTATGATATTAACTATGGGCTTTTACTAGTAGCTTTTATTATGTTGGGATAATTTCTCTCTATTCTAGTTTGTTCAAAGTATTTTTTTTAATCATGAAAGTGTGTTGAATTTTATCAAATGTTTTTTCTATATCTGTTGAGATGATCATGTGGCTATTTAACCCTTCTGTTAACCGTTGTGTCACATTAACTGATTTTTGTATGTTGAACCATTCTTGCACCCAAGAGATAAATTCCACTTGATAATGGTGTATAATGGTAATATTTTTGAGAGAATCCTAAACATTTTCTTGTACATGATAACTTGCTGCTGGACTTAAATCTTGCTGATTACCTATAACCTAGAATTTGAAAGAATTCATTAATCTTTATAAAAGAAAAAATTCTTACTACATATTTTAGCTATCTTCTTAAAGGCCTCTTGCTTTAAAATACCAAGAATATGTATTTAACGTACAACATAAGTAAAATTTTCATTTAAGTGTATGTTAGTATTTAATCTGTATGATGGAAAACAGATTGGAAAAAATATTTATCTTCAAAATACCTTTCTTTTCTTTCTTTTCTTGTTTTGTATTTTGGTATTTTGTGACCCAAATTTGGATCAGCATGTCACTTTCATCAGCACTGTTGAAAGAAGAAAAAATGCCAGCGCTATCCCCTGAAATCAGATTTGAGAATTCTAATGTCACCAGAAATTCCATGGACAGATATTTTCTTTTTGAGAATAGTTGGAGGAAAGCGGTTTTTGAAACACAAAAGTTGAAGAATGGTAACATCCATTTTATTCTTATTTAACTTAAGAAAATATAGAAATAGTGAGTTTGAACTTACATGTATATTTTTAAAGTAATAAGAGACATTTTATCATTTTTGTAACAGTTAAGTAAAAATACTATCTTAAACTTATGGAAAAGACAAAGGGAAGCAAATTAAAATTAGTTTCCTTAATGTAATTCTGTGACTCATGATAGAACAAATTTAAAGAACTACTTCCCTTGATGTCAGTGCAGTTCTCCCTCTGTTGGATCATGCTACTTTTCATGAATAGTGTTTGTTTTTAAATACCTTAAGTTGCCCTAGCTGGTTTGGCTGAGCAATTGGAAAGTTTGCCTGCAGACTGAAGGTTCGATTCCAGTCAAGAGCACAAACTTCAGTTGCAAGCTCGAATTCAAGCCCCAGTTGGGGCATGTGTATGAGGCAACCAATCAATGTGTGTCTCTCACATTGATGTTTCTCTCTGTCTCTCCCCCTCCCTTCCACTCTGTCTGGAAATCAATGGAAAGGATGTTCTTGGGTACAAATTAACAAAAAGAAAAAAAACAAAAAAAGAAAAAAAACAACTAAATACCTCAAGCTGGTTTTCATATTTTAAAAAACCCCAATGTTTTACAGCACCTTTTTGTTTTAATAATTCTAATCAAAATTATGTCTTTTTTCCTTTCCTGTAAAAAGTATTTTATATCCTATAGTTGCTCAATAAAGACTACTTTGGGGACTTCTTACACGTAAATTAGTATATATAACTTCCTCCCTTAATTTCAAATTATAAATTACATTTTTACTTATCCTGAATTCTGCCATTAGCTTTATTGATGGAGATATAATTCTTGAAAATAGCAAAATTTGAACTCTCTATTTCATCACTTCTGGTTTTGAACGTGTTGCTACAGTTTTTCAATTTTGCCACTAGTTTCCATTAAAGGTACTCAGAAGACCCCGTTTATCTGTCTCCCTACCCCTAGGTTTAATTGCTTAAAAGAGAATCTACATGGAATTATTTTATTTCTTATTACTAGCTCAGATGATCATGTATTTACATACCTTGATTTTCTACATAAAAGCAGGAAGGAGGAAAGACTTAAAGTAGCGGAAAATGTAAGACTCCTGAAAGTGCTTTTGGCTCTTTTCAGTGTGAATCTATCTAATATGCTGAGGATTCTAGAACCATGGAGACAGGGGACGGTGAAGACTGAGGCTCTGGGAAGCTGTCCTTTTTCCTGGTTCAGATCTTAAGCAGCCCCTTACCCCCTGTCCCCTGCAGGCCCAGGTATTCTCTTGGGAAAGATGCTAGGTAAACTACAGTAACTTAATTTTCTTTAATGACCCATCTAGTATGTTTTATTATGCATTGTGGTATAGGAAAAGAACTTACATCTAACCAGGAAATAATGAAGGTGATTATGCTACTATTTTTTTTTATTAGAATATAGCCAAACATTTGGTCTAGAAGAGCTCAGAGAACGTGTCAGAATGCCATATTTACCAGGATTGCGAACCTGCCAGAAAAGTGTGAGTTCGCCGTCGCCATCACCGTCACCCGAAGTCCCCAGCAGACGGCGGCACGCCGACCTCCAGATGCCTCCCGTCAGGTAGGCCCTGCTCTCCCACTCTCTCCTGCTGCGTGCTTAGCTGGAGCAGTACTTCTGCCAGAGAGGTTTCTGGCCCGTGAATCCAGTTCTTTCTTGCTTACTAATTTTTTTCCACAAAGGATTTAATTTTGTGGTTTTATTCAGTTTGACAAGTAGGAGCTTCTCACGGTTGTTAAGTGACATTGTCAGAAAGGATACAAGATCTTTTTTTTTTCTTTTTTTTTAAAAGAATCTTTATTCCCCTAGTGTAAATTGCCCATGAGGATATTGGAATTTTTAGCAATAACAATAAATGAACTCTGACTATGAACGGGTCTCACTCCCCTGCATACAGACGCTTGCATTTCACTGCCCGTTTGAAGAGGTGTGAGGGGTGATTCTGAATGAGACATCAGCCTAGTGAAGATCCTGCACTGATGATCAGAAATGAGTTTGTCAGCCAGAATCCTGGCATTTGAAAACATATAATAATAAATACCCTTCCCACTGTAAATCAGACTGACATACCCTTAAAAGAAATCCCCTTTCTTTAAAAGGATGTATATATATATATATTTGTTAGTAAGATAGACTTCTATTTGGTTTCTGCTTTGGTTTATTTATTTATTCATCGGGTATTTACTGAAAGACCAATCTTTAAAAAAAAACCAAGCATTGAAAGCAGTCTGATTTGCAGCTCTTTTTAGGGGAGGATTTATATCTTCATGTATATGTATATTTTCATGTCATGAGCTTTAAAATCGTCCAATTGTATATAGTGCACAATTTCTGAGTCTATTTCTTGAGTTTTATTATTGCTCTTGCTAATTACTCAAAATAAATCCTGATAATATAAATAGAAAATTAGAACATACTAAAAATGAAACGTTGTGGTTAGTTTAGATCTAAATTGTGAAAATAAGACTTTGCAGAAAATTTACCCATCTTAACATATCCATTTTTTTTAAAAATATATTTTTATTGATTTTTTACAGAGAGGAAGGGAGAGGGATAGAAAGTTAGAAACAGATGAGAGAGAAACATCGACCAGCTGCCTCTTGCACACCCCTTTCTAGGGATGTGCCCACAACCAAGGTACATGCCCTTGACCGGAATCAAACCCGGAACCCTTCAGTCCGCAGGCCAACGCTCTATCCACTGAGCCAACCCGGTTTCGGCAACATATCCATTTTTATTGTTGGGAGTTCTAGCCTTTTTCATTTTCATATATTTTTTTATTTTAGTTATAATTTTAGTGTACTTACGTTTTACTCTGCCTTTTTTATACACATACACACAGACACACACGTATTTATCTCACTACATAATCTTCAGTTACTGTCCACGTTATATTTCATTGATGTTATTAAACTGTGTTTAATAAAACAATGTAGTTTATTTAAAAGTTCCTATCATTGCACTTTTATGTTACCTTGGCTTTTTCACTTTTGTGAGCAATAGCACACATAAAATCTTTCCCCTCGTTTTAAATATTGTCTGAGGACAGATTGCCAAGCTCTAAAAATATACAAAGCAAAACTGCTCTTTCTGAAGTGAGATTACAGTGAGACAAGGCAGAGCCAGGGATGGTGGAAGAGAGTGAGTTGCCAGTAGAGTAGGGAGTTAAAGAGACAGGATGGTACGATTGTGGAAAGAAGAGGGCCCCTGGAAACCTGACTATAACACCTATTCAAGGACACTGTTTCCATCACCAGCACACTTGCATCCCTGTTACTTAACCCATCCCTGTCATGTCCCCAGGGTCACAGCCCTTGATGGGGAAGGGAGTAAGAGTGTAAGGGCTGCCTGTGGTGATGGACTTGTCTCAGTCCAGACCAGTCTTCTGACCCTTCTTTCTGTGTGTATGATCACCTAAAAAGCTGGAAGCCCAGCAAGCACCCCTAAATCAGTCTGTTCTGCCTCTAAATTTTCAGTCTTTATGTTGCTTCCTATTATTTCACTCTGTTTCAGTGTGTGTGTGTGTGTGTGTGTGTGTGTGTGTGTGTGTGTGTGTGTGTGTTTCATTTGCAATTTTGGCTATTTATGAGATGATTCACCAACATTTCACATTGACTTGAGTGTGAATTTCCTTAAGTCAGTGAAAGATAATTTGAATATATTACAATTGTGTTATGACAAGTGTTCTTCATATCTAAGTGGAAGAGAGGGGCTAAGTGCCATGATGTTAATGAAGTGCATGGCAAGCAAAAATGTTAGTTCTTGTGCCTGTCTTTGAAATGAGTGTCTTTATTTTAACCATTCTGGTGAGGACATGTTGAGTTGCCTTGCAAGTTTTGTTGTTTTTTGTTAATCCTCATCCGAGGATATTTTTTTTTTCATTGTTTTTCAGAGAGAATGGAAAGGAGGAAGGGAGGGTGAGAGAGACAGAAGAGAGAGAGAGAAACATCCATGTGAAAGAGACACATCCATTGGTTGCCATCTGCACACACCCTGTCTCGGGCCGGGGATCGACCCTGCAACACAGGTAGGTGCCCTTGACCGGGAATTGAACTCGAGACCCTTAGGTGCTCAGGCTGACACTCTATGCATTGAGACACGCCAGCCAGGGCTACAAGTATTTTATTCTCCTCTTTGTATTGCCCAGTGCCCTGAGAAGGAACAATCTTGGTAAAGCAGGAAAGTCCTCATTTTTGTTCATTTTGGGTACAAACCCTTCCTCTCTTCGATTCTGAAAGACTAATTTGTTTTCAAGTTTCTTTAATGCTAATCAGAAATTTTCAGTGACTCTCAAGGCACAGTCTGGTAATAAAACTGATAATAGGAACCCTAGAGGTGACGAGTATTTAAAAGTTTTGGCTGACTTCTAAAGTTTAATGTAGCTACAAGAAATTTGGAATTCTTAGGTACCCTCTCACACACAGTAGATTCAACCATGACATATTTCCTACATATTATCTAGATCTATCCCAGAAGGAATGAGAGTTAATTATGTCAAAATTTAGATTGTGGTGATGAATAGGGGATAAGTGAGTTGGTTAGCTGGCATATCCAGATACCCTATTGATCTAATCTTGATTCCCTTCCTCCTAGCATTCCCTGAATCACGATTACTGAGAATTAAGATGAAAATAAAATTGAGATAAAGATGGGGAAAGTTGCACATAACACTCCTCCTTGGGTAAAATTCATTAGCAAAAACTGAGACATTAAGTTGGTTCATATCTGTTTCTGATTAGATTAGCTATGATGGAAGGAGTTTCTTTAATGTTTATTTCATTTTTATGTGATGTTGTCTTTTCAACAGGTGAGTTTCGCTGGAAGCATGCCCCTTGTCTCTTATTGCATCGTGAAAGACGGATGTGGCCTGGATTTGTAGAGAAGTGACTTTATGATAATGTATAATTTCAGGAACAAGAAGACCAAGGAGCCCTGCATTGTGATACCGTTTCTGGAGAGACCCCAAGGCAAGCAGGCTCCTCTTTTTTTCTTACTGTGCTGCGGAATACTTATCTTCTGTTTTAAACGTCCTTTCTTTCCACGGATTTAATTGTCTTTGGTTTGTTACTGCTTCTCTGAAGCTTTGGTTTCTAAATGCAGTAGATGTTGTGTTCGGTGTATCGTATATCTTTATTATCCAGGACCCTGGCAGGGGCCCTTCTCATCGCAGGTGGGCCATTGCAGTTGCCTGCAAAGTTTCTGGCCTTTGAAATCCTTCAATACGGCAACAAGCCCAAGGCCTTGGCCTCTAATCGCATCCCTCCCTTCTTCAAAAACAGTTCCTCTGAAATACCCTAAGACTAAAGTATGAGCTCCTTAGCTTGGCACTGAACCCTTTACCGTCTTGCACTAACGTGCCTTTCTAATTAATTATTTTTCTGAATCCTGTGTATCTTATCACATCCAACTGCAGAAACGTAGCCCTATGCCAATAGTTTGAGTTCAAAAGAATTACTCTTCACATTGATTTATTCCTAAGCCGTTGGTGATTAGGAGGGTTTATAGCACTAAGCTGTATTTTCACTTATTTGGAGTATGAATTTGTTCTTTGAAGTAATAAAATCAGCATTCTCACCTCCACATTTCTGATGTGTTTGATCAGAATTTTGTTTTTCAAAAACAGACCCTGAAAAATCAGTTGAACCAGGTAGTTAGTTGCCCTTTTGATGAGCTCTGCAAAATGATGGGAATTTCTCAACTTACTGTCTCATCCCTAACTTATGTGTGATACCAATTCCTGGGGCCTTACACTAAGGGAACCATATATGGCATGCGACATGTATATGTCTAGCATTTAAGTTCTCCAATAAATTCGTGCTCATTTCTTGAAGGAATTTTACCCAAAGTTAAGTGGGAGAGATTCTTTTTTTTTTTTTTTTAATGATTCTTAAAGTCAAAAGTTTTCCACTTTCTTGTCTTTTGTCGATTATTATGTAAGCCAGGGTTTTTGAACAATGGCAATATTAACATTTTGGGCCAGATAATTCTTAATTGTGGGGCTCTGCCCTAAGCATTGAAGGTGTTTAGCAGCATCCCTGAATGCCATTGTGTGGTCACTAGATGCCACTATGTGGTCATCAAAAAGGCCTCCAGACATTGCCAAACGACCTTAGGGTGGCAAAATCACTTCCGGTTGGGAACCAAGGGATTAAGTATAACATGTCTAGCATTATATATTATTTACTACTAGTGGCTTGGTGCATGAAATTCGTGCCCAGGGGCATGGGGTCCTCTCAGCCCAGCCTGCACCCTCTTCAATCTAGGACCTCTCAGGGGATGTCCGATTGCCAGTTTAGGCCCGATCCCCAGCAGTGACATCCCTCTCACAATCCAGGACCACTGACTCCTAACTACTCACCTGGATGCCTGCCTGCCTGATCACCCCTAACTGCCCCCCTCTGCTGGCCTGGTCACCTCCAACTATTCCCCTGCCGACCTTGTTGCCCCCAACTGCCCCCTCCTCCAACCTCTTCCATCACTGCCCCCCTCTGCCAGCCTGGTCGCCCCTCACGCCCCCACCCCGCAGGCCTGGTCGCCCCCAAGCCAGCTACTCAGTCATTTGGTCACACCTCACTAAGGCCCCTGCCAACCTGGTCGCCCCATGCAACCTGTTTGGTGTCATCCGTTCAGTTTCAATAGTTGCTCAGGCGCATATATATATATATATATATATATATATATATATATGATTTGTCCTTCAAACTATCAAATGTTTCCTTCTTTATCTGTGTATAACAATTATTTCTTTACCAGCTTAAGACTTTTTCAACCTTACTTATTTTTATGATAATCACAGTTATCTCCATTACTTCCATAACTTTGTACTTATAGACTAATGGAGCTAATAGAGCACCTCTAAAGAAACCACAAACATAAAATTGTAGAGTATATAATATATAATATATCATATAATGCTTTCTCGACATTGTTGGTAGCAGTCAGAATTGACTTAGGACCTTTGCAAGTTCAGTCTCTGGATGTTCATAAGTTTAAATGCTCATGAGCTTCTCCTTGGATATGTCCTTTCTCTGAATTTCCAAATAGTATAAACAACTTTTATGATCCAATAGGCAACATAAAATAAAAATATACTTGGTAATTTAAACAAAAGACATCTTAGCCCAAATGAACATTTGCCTGCCTGTGTTCTAATAGGCCAAGTTTATGGTTCTTTTGGGCCAGATACTATATCTTCTTCACCTTTATAACCTGCAATGCCTACACCAGTTTCTGTAGTATAACGAGTGTTCGGTAAATACGTGTTGATTTTCCTTGAGTCATGCAAGAACACCATTCATTCACTCATTCACTAAATGTGAATTGAGTATCTGCTCTGTGCCAGGCCTTGTTCTAGATGCTTGGGCCTTGGTTACATCCCTCCACAAAACCAAGGTCCCAGGCCTTGTGGAATTTACATTCTAGTGAGAGAATACAGCTGACAAACAACCTGTATAATAAAGAGCTAATATGCTAATTCGTCTGAACAGCAAAACAACCGTCTGGAAGGTTGTTGTGAGGTCCAGCCGAGGCAGCTGGGGCTTCAAAAGCTGAGTCCCTTGCACAGATTTCATGCATTGGGCCTCTAGTTAAATATAATAAAGAAGGTCCATTGCCTAGTATGTCAGAAGATGTAAGTAAAACAGAAAAAAAAAATAGAATAAGGAAAGGGAGATCAGAAGATCTAGGATCAGAACAGGTTTACTGGTGAGGGTAAAATTTGAGCCACGACTTGAAAGAAGTGAGGGAATTAAACTCCTGGAAAACAGTTACTGTCTTGGAGCCAGGAAAGATCCCAGGGCAGGATGCTACCTGTCCAGTTGGAAGAATTCAGGAGTCAAGTGTGGCTAAACTCAGAGTGTGGAGGACCAGGTAGAAGAGGTGACATCTGACCCTGTAGGGCTCTGGAAGGGTCACTGCATCTAATTCTGATTGAAAAGAGGAGTCACTGAATAATTTTAACAGAAGAATGATTTCCATGTGATCCAATTTAAGTTTTTAAAGGATCATTTGGCAACTGTCATCTTTTTCAGTAGTTACTCCTTTTTAAAAAAAAATGGCCCAGTCCTGGTGGTGTGGTTCAGTTGGTTGGGCGTTGCAAGGTTCATGCACCTAAAGGTTGCTGGTTCAATTCCGGTTGTATGGCAGCTAATCCATGTTTTGCTCTTTTTTGATGTTTCTCTCTCTCCCTCTCCCTTCTTCTCTCTCTCAAAATCAATAAAAATACTTTTTAAATTAAAAATGAATAAATAAATCCTGTAATTTCATTATAATAAATAAATACCCATAGAACATCCACCTCCGGCTGTGCTGAAATAGCTTCTATTAGATGACTTTACCACTGAGAATTAGCATAAGAGTTAATTATAAAAGATCATAAAAATATATTTTATAATAAATAAATAATATAAAAGTTGCATGTTTATTATTAATATAAAATAATAAAAATATTCAAAAGCAACTACCTTAAGGTGCCAAGAGCTTTCATTTCCAATAGGACTTCAGAGCTGAGATACTGGAGAAATAACCGCAGAGAAGTGAGCCCCAAATTCTGTGAGCAGTTTTCCCCCAGGTGTTTGCCTGTTCCTGAGGGGCATGCCTGCCAGGTCAGATGTCAGGACTCAGGCAGAAAACAGTCTCTTTGAGGCGAAAGAACTGGGCAGAGGTTTCAGTGAGTTAGCATGTGCTGGGAGGCAGAGGGGGAGCTTAAGGCCTGCCTAGGAGAGCCCCTAGTGAACTCCCAGGCTGCACACAAAAAAAGGCATCCCAAGGAGAGACGAGCTTTAAAATAGCCCACAGCCCCTCGTTGGCTGGATTAAAGTGACAGCTACGAGAAGGAAAGGAAATCTCTCCGGAAAACATGAGGTGACAGAGCCTTGCAGGTAAAACACGTGGGCCATTTGTTTTCTTTGGAGGAATCTTTTAATACTGATCCAGTCATTTTAACTTTAGGACTCTTAAAGCATTCTAATTTGTCCATCAGTTTTGGTAAGTGATATGCTCTAGAATTTCTTCCATTTTGTCTAAGTTTTCAAATTTATTGGCCTAAAATTTAATCTTTGCTCTATCTATACTTCTGTTCCTCTTCTGATATTACTTACTAGAGGCCCCGTGCAAAAATTCGTGCACTCGGGGGTCCCTCAGTCCAGCCTGCACCCTCTTGTAGTATGGGAGTCCTCGGGGGATGTCCTACTAACCGCTCACACTCACAGTCGGACATTCTTAGCGCTGCCTGTGTTCGCCAGCTACGAGCCTGGTGCAGGGCTGCTGGCTGAGCAGCGCACCCCTGTGGGAACACATTGACTTGCAGGGGGCTGTTCCTGCATTGAGCATCTGCCCCCTGGTGGTCAAGTGCACATCATAGGTTGTTCTGCCATTTGGTCGATTTGCATATTATCCTTTTATTACATAGGATTTGTTCCTTCTACCTTGTTTAATCTCACAGGGGCGTTCCTTTATTACTAGTCTTTTCAGTGAAGAACTATCATCTTTTTAAACTTTTTAAAGTTTCTTATTATAAGTTTTTTTTTTATTTCTCCTCTTTTCTGAATTATTGACCCCCACCCGTTCTGTGGGTTTATTCTTTTCCTAATATATATCTTTCGCCTCACTTATTAATTTTCAGCCTTTTTTTCTAACAAAGAAAATTTAGAAAATTATACCCTAAGCCATAGAGAGGTTTAGACCCTAAAATTTCTCTTTTGTTTCACCACACAATTTTTGTAATATTTTTTGTCATCTACTTAAATGTTTATTATGATTTATTTTTTATGGATGCATAATTTAGAATGTGTGGGTAAATTTCTATATATTTGAGAATTTTTTTTATATTTGAGAATTTTTATATTTACCTTATTGTCATAACAATAACACAAAGTTCACACCAAAGGCATCAATGCCAGTTTATCTTCAAGTTTATTATAATCTTTTTATATATATATTTTATTGATTTTTTACAGAGAGGAAGGGAGAGGGATAGAGTTAGAAGCATTGATGAGGAAGAAACATCAATCAGCTGCCTCCTGCACACACCCTACTGGGGATATGCCCGCAACCAAGGTACATGCCCTTGACCGGAATCGAACCCGGGACCAATCAGTCCCCAAGCCGATGCTCTATCCATTGAGCCAAACAAGTCTCGGGTAGAGATCATTTTTCATGGAGAATGCATTTTTATAATTATTTCTAGATAATAAATTCCACAGGCATCCCATGTTTTATATAATTAAATGCATGCATTGTAGGTGTTTTTAGTGAGATGTTTTTGAGATGACTTATAGCCACTTTAGAAAGTATAGGACATTTCTACTTCAAAAAAATCGTAGTGCTTGGTGGTCGCTCGAGGAACAGACATTTTGCTTGCACTGTATTTGAGAGACTATCATTAATGTGTGATTATTTGAATCTTAACAGCTGATCCTCTTTCCTGACAGGTTCTGGGTTCAGCGATCCCCTCGCTGGAGCGCCACCTCATTACTTACAGAGGATTTCCAGAATGTCCATGCTGGAGCATGACACCATTCGGCAAGAGACGGCCATGAAGTCCAAAAAGGGTAAGAGACGAGAGCTGCGAGACTGCTGGTGACACGCATCGCGATGCTTCCCTCGCCGTTAGGGCTTTCCTTCTTCCCTCCTTTTTATTTTTCTTTCTTTTTGATATGTGATATGATATGGAATGATATATGTAACAATGGGAATGTAAATAGGAAATAAATATTTTATGTTACATTCAGAATAATCTGTGCTTTGTTAACTATACAAAGAGACATTTACATTACAGTCTGTGTAGACACAAGCATAAGAAAAAGTATATTGCCACCCAGTCGGACTGGCTCAGTTGGTTGAGCATCGTCCTGTGCACCAAAAGGTTGCCAGTTTGATGACTGGTTCAGGGAATATACAGAAGGCAATCTCTCTCCCTCTCCCCTCCCCCTCTCCCTCTCCCTCTCCCTCTCCCTCTCCCTCTCCCTCTCCCTCTCCCTCTCCCTCTCCCTCTCCCTCTCCCTCTCCCTCTCCCTCTCCCTCTCCCTCTCCCTCTCCCTCTCCCTCTCCCTCTCCCTCTCCCTCTCCCTCTCCCTCTCCCTCTCCCTCTCCTTTTCCCTCTCCCTCTCCCTCTCCCTCTCCCTCTCCCTCTCCCTCTCCCTCTCCCTCTCCCTCTCCCTCTCCCTCTCCCTCTCCCTCTCCCTCTCCCTCTCCCTCTCCCTCTCCCTCTCCCTCTCCCTCTCCCTCTCCCTCTCCCTCTCCCTCTCCCTCTCCCTCTCCCTCTCCCTCTCCTTCTCCTTCTCTTTTCCTCTCTCTCTCTCTAAGCATGTCCTCAGGTGAGGATTTTTTTTACAATTTATATGGCATGAATTTTATGCACATTGATTATGTTGTTGTTGTTTTTTACTCAACTTGAGAAGTTTTTGAGTGCTTCTCTGTAAAATGATATTCGATAAGAACTGCAGAAGATTCAAGAAAAAGTGAGCTCTTGTTGGGGTTCGAAAGCACCAATATAACCCTCTCCTTTTCCCTGCTTGAGTGTGAAACAGTTGTGAGGTACTTATTCAAGCAGATGACGATGAGAATATTAGCTTTGCTTGTTGATAAAACCTGGAAGGGAGATCCTGGCTCAGGCGTGTGGCAGCCTCCTAACACTGAACTTCAGAATTGGGCCAACGTGCACATCCGGGTAAGTGCTGACAGGCTCGGGCTCACCTGCCGAGGCGGGGCCTTGACAAGACCAAGAAGAACAAGGCTCCTCCACTGTAGACAGGCAGGTCCCTGAGGAGGAAGAGGGTGGGGAGACTTGCCCCTCTGTGGGGAGCAGGGGAAGGTCTAGATCAGGAGGACACTGCCCCTCTAGAAAGCCTGAGGGACGGGAGAGGAGTGCTTGCCAGGAACCAGGAGAAGTCCAGCACAGCAGAGCCTGCGATCCAGTGAGAGTGTCATACGGGCACAGCAGAACCCGTTGGATATGGGTTATGGAGGGTGTTATGGACGGTCAAGAACAGGGCAGTATTCCAGCGGGCACGCTTCCTGGAAGGTGCAGTGTTCGAAGCGGACCTTAAAGCCAGGGAAGATGAATAATGTAGCAGAGGTGCACTGCGCATTGGGAGTGACACTGTGGAACGCTGGGGAGCAGAGGGCAAGTGGCAGAATTCACGTAACTACAGATGTCAAGCCAAGTGCTGTGCTGAGGGACACCGTGAATGAAGGCTTCGGTGAACTGGGCACTCACCACCCAGCTTCAGCTCTTTGTCACCTGGCAATGGAGGCCCAAAGTCACCAGGTATAATATTCCAAATTTTCATTGGAAGCCAGACCCCGGGCTTTCCTGCAAAGCCTTCTAAGTGTCAATGTTAGCAACTGATTGGAAGTTTATGAAGCCGTTGTGTGGGCCAAAGACAGTTACATGCGCCAGCTAGCGCTGGCTTTGAGGGGCCATTCTTACCTGCAACCTCGGGGTCAAAGGGTTAGAGGGCAACAGGGCTTGAGATAAGCGGTTGATACCTGGTAGAGAGCCTCAGATCCAAGCATGAGTTTCTATTTCCTCGCTTTCTCAAGGGGAGATTTTGAGCGTGAAAGTATTATAGATCATTGCTTTTGTGATTTAGGAAGATTCATCCCAGGCTAGATTGTGATGGGAGGAGCCTGGGAGAAGGGAAACCAGGGAGAGGCTGTTTATAAAAATTGAGGCAAGAATCTCTCAATAGAAAGGTAGAGCCAAAACCGGTTTGGCTCAGTGGATAGAGCATCAGTCTGTGGACTGAAAGGTCCCAGGTTCGATTCCGGTCAAGAGCATGTACGTTGGTTGCGGGCACATCCCTGGTGTGGAGTGTGCATGAGGCAGCTGGTTGATGTTTCTCTCTCATTGATGTTTCTAGCTCTCTCTCTCCCTTCCTCTCTGTAAAAAATCAATAAAGTATATTTTTTAAAAATTAAAAAATAAAGATTTACATATTAAAAAGAGAGAGAGAGAGAGAGAGAGAAAGAAAGATAGAGACAGGACACCAAGGCAAAGCACCCAAGGTCAACTGATTGGACAAAAGGGTATCAAGAGAGGAAGAAGCTCATTTCTAGTTTTAGACATAGATTCTCAAGAGGAGATGTCAGTTTGGGGGAATAACAGGATCGATGCAACTTAGAGTATATTCTGTGTAAGGTGCCACCAGGACATCCATCCAGAGATGCCAAACAGGTAGTTGAAAGCAAGTGTATAGTTCCGGATAAAGATGCTTGACTAGAGCTAGACCTAGGAAAAACGTGCATTGCCAAGGCTGAGTTTTCCTGCTAAACCTGTAGAGAGAGAAGAGAGGCCAGATTCATAAGGGATGGGAGCAAACAGGAAGAAGACAAAAATAAAAGAAAGAAAGCAACACAGATATAGGAGAATGAACATATTTCATGTTCTTGCAAGCTTTATGTTAATGTATAAGATACACTATTAATATGTATGTGCTTATAGGCATTATCACAATACATTAGTTCCTCAGGGGATAACTAAACTTACCTGGAGATGTTTGCACTGACATTTGAATTTCGGTTGAGAATGATTTAGGTATTACCTGTACCTTTTCTTTTTTCTTGTAACCCATTCCCAGTGTGGTCAATGGTTTAATAAATGCGAAACTGGAGGAAAGTACTCCTCTCAAAAATGTTGTGAACTCTTTTGGATGAGTACTTCTCTTTCTTTTTTTAAATATATTTTATTGATTTTTTACAGAGAGGAGGGGAGAGGGATAGAGAGCTAGAAACATTGATGAGAGAGAAACATAAACTAGCTGCCTTCTGCACACCCCCTACTGGAGATGTGCCAGCAACCGAACCTGGGACCTTTCAGTCCACAGGCCGATGCTCTATCCACTGAGCCAAACCGGTTTCGGCTGGATGAGTACTTCTCAATACCTTTAACTGTCAAATGAGTTTCATCTAGTGAGCTCCTATTGTGTACTCTAAATATTTAATCTCATTTGTAAACCTTATGAACACCCTAAAAAGTAAGTAGGTGATATTATTCCTGTTCTATCAATGAGGTAAACAAAAGGGCCTTTGTTTTATACCAGCTCTCAAGTTAGAAACAAGAGAACTGAGCCCTAGTTGGATTGCAGACCAAAGGGTCCCGGGTTCAATTCCATCAAGGGCACGTACCTCAGTTGCAGGGTTCTCCCCGGCCTGGGCCCTGGTTGAGGTGCATGCAGGAGGCAAGTAATCGATGTGTTTCTTTCACATCGATATTTCTCTCGGTCTTCCACTCTCTCTAAAAATCAATGGAAAAATATCCTCAGGTAAGGATTAAAAAATAAAAAAATAAATAGGAGAACTGTTTTCTCACCTACTAAGCTCCAAAGCCCATATGCTAGTATATAAACTTAATGGAATAATAATTAAAAAAAAACTTGAACTCAGTTGATACATCATGGTTTAATTACTTAAAATGTAGGGAAAGATAGTACTTGCAGAGAGGAAAATATCTTGTAATGTTGAGTTGAGTTCCCGACTTACGACGCCAACACATCTTGGAGCATTTATGCCAGGAGAACAGAAAGACCCCTGCCCCCACGTCCCCCATGAAAAGTTCACTTTGAGAAAGGAGTGGAATGTTTATTTCTTTTTAATAAATGAGATATGCTGACGATAATTAATCACCTTTTTAGCCGTGGGTTGAATTTAACTTATGCTTTTCATTAAATCTGTGTGTGTTTTTTTAAACCCACAGGCTCCATTTCTTTACATTGCATTCACTCTTTTTGTTCCTCATGAATATTTTAGGGGGGGAAAAAAACTACACATACACACAAAACAAAACAGCATGTATAATAGTTAGTACAGAGGAGGTTCAAGTCACCCCCAAGTAAGATAAACCCACGATGAAGAGAGAAGGGGGAAGTGCTAAGTTCTGATATTGTTGCTGGCATGGATATTAAATGTATATTTGGGGTTGAAATCAGTCTTGCCAGAAATGATCTTTTTGTGTCTGTAATTTGGAAAGTGCACCTGTGTAAGCCATATCTATCATAATCTTGAGAAACTGTACCTTTTGATAAATATTTAGGATGGCAAGACTGAGTCCTGATTTAAGGGTGAGAAAACAGTTCTCTAAAAAGAATAGTTAACTCAGTGACAGATAAATCATTAGACAGTGATCATTTTAAAGAAATTTCCTAAGAATCACTGCCTTCTCTCTAATCCTAAACTTATCAAACAGCCCTATAGTATGTAATTTGGACTCCTGAGTAAATATATGTACCAAAAACCAGATGCCTTCTCTGGATGACATTGATAACTAAAGTTTTTACACGTTCACTGTGCACAGGGCATTGTGGGAAAGCTTTTCATCTAATATCTTATTTAATCATCCCAACCACCCAACTTGACAGCCCCTGGTCAACTCATGCCATTCCCCTGGGCGCCTGTTACCTCCTCTCTTCTCTTCAGCTCCTTTCCCCTGCCTCTGACTCCTTCCTTCTTCCCTCTCCCCTCTCTGAGAACATAGAAGCATCTGAAGAGAATGTCCACTCACTGCTCTATGAACCTGCCTGATTCTGGGCTCCTGCACTCATGGGCCGTGCCCCTCACTCGTGCGCAGATATCATCAGCATTTCC